AGAGAGAGAGAGAGAGAGAAAGCATACAGCATCGGAACATCGGAGGGACAGGAGGCATATCCAGTGAACAGGCGAGGGAGGCTATCATGCGAGCGCACACGGCGACAGGGAACTGTCGATTGAAAGCGGACACTGGAGGTCACAGGGGCCCGCAGACGGGAGCGCTCTTCGCTCGCGAACAGCCGTTGTTTCGCCCAGGCGCCCTCGCTCTCGCGGTGTGCCCTGGCGCTGCCGCCCTCGCCTGCTCCCTCTGCCCCCTCTTGATGGGCCTGTTGTCCACCACCACCACCATAAATTGGAGGGGGGAAGGAGGAGGAGCAGGAGGAGGAGGAGGAGGCGGAGGCGGAGGAGGAGGAGGACCCCCTTCCCCTCCAACTCATGGTGGCGGTGGTGGACACCAGGCCCATCACCCTCTGCCGCCCGGATGGCCCCGCGCCGCCGCACCCGCCGCCCCTCAGGGCGCCCAGGCGCCGCCGCTCCCTCCCGCGGCCTCCTGCTCGCCCTGGGCGCCAGGGCTGCGCGGGCGGCCGCGCCGGGCCAGCCAGGCTAGCCCGCGCGATTCGATCCAGGGGTGGACCCAAACGCTGTTTTGCTAGACTTTGGCCGTTTTTTTGTTCAGTGGTGTTCTTGTTTTCTCTGGACACCCCGCGCAGGAACAGGATGGAAGGAACACCTCCTCTCTTCTCACTCACACACACACACACTCACATCACCAACATAGCATCAACATCACTTACTCACTCACACTCACTCGACCACGCCCATTCACTCACACCCACTCGCTTTTTCTGAGTGGCTCACCCACTCACTCACAACTACTACTCAGCACTCATCATCAACATTCCCCACATACTAACTTGGGTTCTTGTTTTTGTATGGACACCCCGCGCAGTCCTGTCACCTCTCCTCTTCTGCCTTCGCACAGGCACTCGTTCAATCACTCACTCAATCACTCACACACCATCATCACCACTGGCCTCATCCTAATTTCAATCATCATCACTACTCACATCATCATGACCATCACTCGCCTGTGTGTCGTCTCGGGCGGGAGTCTCGTCTGTGAGTGAATTGCGAGGAAGTCTCAGGCGGGAGCCCCCTTCCTATGGGGCCCGCGCTTCATGTTCGAATCCGAGGCGGGTCATCGGCCTCCTGAAACCGTCGTCACTTTTGGGTTCCTGAGGCTTGAATGTGGAGGAATTATCAGGTGGGAGCCTCGTCTGTGAGTGAATTGCGAGGAAGTCTCAGGCGGGAGCCCCCTCCCTATGGGGCCCGCGCTTCATGCTCGAATCCTAGGCGGGTCATCGGCCTCTTGAAACCGTCGTCACTTTTGGGCTCCTGAGGCGTGAATGTGGACAAAATATCAGGCGGGAACCTCGTCTGTGAGTGAATTGCGAGGAAGTCTCAGGCGGGAGCTCCCTCCCTATGGGGCCCGCGCTTCAAGTTCGAATCCGTGGCGGGTTATCGGCCTCCTGAAACCGTCGTCACTTTTGGGCTCTTGGGGCCGGAGTATCGAGGAAGTATCAGGCCGGAGCCTCGTCTGTGGGTGAATTGCGAGGAAGCCTCAGGCGGGAGCCCCCTCCCTATGGGGCCCGCGCTTCATGTTCGAATCCGAGGCGGGTCATCGGCCTCCTGAAACCGTCGTCACTTTTGGGCTCCTGGGGCCAGAGTATCGAGGAAGTATCAGGCCGGAGCCTCGTCTGTGAGTGAATTGCGAGGAAGTCTCAGGCGGGAGCCCCCTCCCTACGGGGCCCGCGCTTCATGCTCGAGTCCGAGGCGGGTCATCGGCCTCCTGAAACCGTCGTCACTTTTGGGCTCCTGGGGCCGGAGTATCGAGGAATTATCCGGCGGGAGCCTCGTCTGCGAGTGAATTGCGAGGAAGTCTCAGGCGGGAGCCCCCTCCCTATGGGGCCCGCGCTTCATGCTCGAATCCTAGGCGGGTCATCGGCCTCCTGAAACAGTCGTCACTTTTGGGCTCCTGGGGCCGGAGTACCGAGGAAGTATCAGGCGGGAGCCTCGTCTGTGAGTGTATTGCGAGGAAGTATCAGGAGGTTACCCCCCTCCCTATGGGGCCCGCGCTTCATGTTCGAATCCGAGGCGGGTCATCGGCCTCCTGAAACCGTCGTCACTTTTGGGCTCCTGGTGAGTGTATTGCGAGGAAGTCTCAGGCGGTATCCCCCCTCCCTATGGGGCCCGCGCTTCATGTTCGAATCCGAGGCGGGCCATCGGCCTCCTGAAACCGTCGTCACTTTTGGGCTCCTGGGGCCGGAGTGTCAAGGAAGTATCCGGCGGGAGCCTCGTCTGTGAGTGTATTGCGAGGAAGTCTCAGGCGGGAACCCCCTCCCTATAGGGCCCGCGCTTCATGCTCGAGTCCGAGGCGGGTCATCGGCCTCCTGAAACCGTCGTCACTTTTGGGCTCTTGGGGCCGGAGTATCGAGGAATTATCCGGCGGGAGCCTCGTCTGTGAGTGAATTGCGAGGAAGTCTCAGGCGGGAGCCCCCTCCCAAAGGGGCCCGCGCTTCATGCTCGAATCCGAGGCGGGTCATCGGCCTCCTGAAACCGTCGTCACTTTTGGGCTCCTGGGGCCGGAGTACCGAGGAAGTATCAGGCGGGACCTCGTCTGTGAGTGAATTGCGAGGAAGTCTCAGGCGGGAGCCCCCTCCCTATGGGGCCCGCGCTTCACGTGCTTTCTCCGGGTCGTCCTCCAGCGCGCGCTTCCTTTGGGCCGCCCTCCGGCGCGTAGCCGCTGAGACGCACGTCGTGCGTTTCCTCTAGGTCGTTTTCCGCACGAGAAGGAGGGGGAGGAGGAGGAGGAGGAGGAGGAGGAGGAGGAGGAGGAGGAGGAGGAGGGGGCAGGAGGAAGTTCGTGGGTGGAGGAGAGGAGGAGGAGGAGGATGAGGAGGAGGA